AAAAGTCAAAGTCTGCACAAAGTTCTCCTCCTCACCTTCTAGACTTGCTCTCCTTGCTCCCTTCTTCAGTCACAGCAGCTTTCTCATTGTTCCTGGAAAAAGCCAGACATGTTTGGGCCTTTTCAATGGCTCCACCTCTGTCTGGCGTGACTTACCCCAGATATTCAGCTTCCCTCCCCTCCTTTGTGTCTTTACTCAAATATCACTTTCCCTGACCACTCTCTGCAGCCCTGTCTGCTAAATCCCTGTCCCCTCCCTTGCTTTATTTTTCACCTTAGTATGCATCATTTTCCAGTATATTATGTAATTTTACTTATTTATTTTATTGTCTGTCTTCTCCCTAAGAATGTAAGTTCCATCAAGTCAAGGATCTTTACATTATTTTTCACTGACACAGCCCCAGTGCTGGCACATAGCAGTTGTTCAATAAAAATTTGTTGAATAAATTAATAAGTTATGTTTAATGCACATACAAAGGGCAAATGGGAGTATATATCTCCTCAAATTTTCTAAAATGTAATTTGATAAGATATATCAGAAGTCTTAAATGTGTACTCAGTAATTTCACTACTAGAAATTTATCAATGCAGTATTTTCTTATTTAGTACAAAGGAAATAATGTTCCAGAATATTAATTGGTATGTGAAAAACAAAATTATTCTGGGAAAAAAATCTCTTAATCTGCTGTGATTCTCAGACTTGGGCTCACATTGTAATTACCTGGAGAGTTTTAAAATATGTTGATGTCCGAGTCTCACCTTGGGAAGTTCTGATTCAATTGTTTTGAACCTGTTGTTCCTCTTTTTATGATATTAGCAGCCTTTGGTGATTATGACTGAAATCCATTAATTCACTAGGAGCCATAGGTGGCAATCTTGTTAACATCTCTTGGCTTATAATTTTTCATCTACAAAACAAAGGGGTTAGGGATATTATGTGTACGTATACTTCCAACTGGGACACTTTATGTTCATATGGGAAATACTCTTAACTAGGGGTTTATAAGGAAGAATTTACTATTTCTCCCCACAAACTTACTGGTATGTGTGTGTGTGTGTGTATGCATGTGTGTGAACTTGATAATGCTCCAAAATAAGAAAAGGAATCTATTTTTATTATAGAGAAGTCATGATAGTAAATCAGACTACTGTAAAGAGTTGTCAAGCCCCTTACTCCAACATGTGTCAGGGACAATGTTAGGGGAAACTGTCACATACTTCTTGTAGGGCATGTTAAGGAATAGGGCTCTGAAACTGGGTATATTAGTCCATTTCTGTTGCTTATAAAAGAATACCAGTAACTGAGTAATTTATAAAGAAATGAAATTAATTTCTTATGGTCCAGGGAAGACATCTGGTGAGGGCCTTGTTCTTGTTTTTTTTTTTTTGTCAGTATAGGGATCCCAACCCTTGACCTTGGTGTTATCATTACCATGCTCTAACCAAGTGAGCTAACTGGCCAGCCCTCCCACCTTCTTAACACTGTTACAATGGAGACCAAATCTCCAATACATGAACCTTTGAGGGACACATTCAACCCACAGCACTGGGCAAGCCTTTTTTTTTTTTTTTAACTGTTTGTTTATTTCATAGGACATTGAGAAACATCAGCAAACAGTAGCAAGTAACCCTTTTTGAAGTATCTAGATATGCAGGATGAGAATAACTTTTGACAGTATGAAAGCCTTCTTCTCAGGTACTCTTTGTACATGTGATTTGTAGCTTTTTCTACAATATTGCTTTAAGTACAAGGACCATGGTATATACTCCAATTAGATAAATCTTCCACCAATAAAGAAATGTGTTGTTATATTAGTCTCTAATTCGTTCAGTTGCCAATAATATATTTTTTTCATTTGAATAAACAATAAATCGAAGCAGCTGTTTATAGGTATGATACAATTGAAAGAAGCTTTTCAGAACACAGAAGCCAAAGTTACTCACTCTATCATTGATAAGATAATGTAGCTGAGTTAGGGATGCATTTCTTCACAGGGAAAACTATGAAGTTAGTCCTCAGAAGCAGATTTCACTACCCCCACACAATCAGACACTGGGGATAAGATAAAGTTACTGCACTTATCACCGTGAACTACAAAGCCTTCAGAAAATCCAATTACCTATTTAGATAACTAAAGAAATTTTTTTTAGGGCAAATAACCTGGTTTGTAGAAAAAGTTATTGCATATAACAGACAGTTGTTTTTAAATCCCAGATCCATAACTTATATAAAATGAGAACAATCACTTTATATATATTAATTATTAAGTAGTGTATTAAGTGTAAAGTGCTTATATGTATAAAATGCCTGGCACATAGCAAATGCCTGGCACATACAACTGGCTGAATAAGGTTAGTTTACATTATTATAGGGATGATTTGTGTGGCTATTGTTGCAATCATTACTAAACATTACTTCTGAGTCTTTTGGTTAAATCTTTTTAATAAGATAAGAAAAGATGGCTCAATTGGTTAGAACATGGTGTTGATAACACCAAGATCTAGAGTTCAGATCCCCTTACCAGACAGCTTCCAAAAAAAAAAAAAAAAAAAAACAACTGGCTGTTTTTTTTTAAGAACACTGTTGTTCTTGTTATTTTTTTTTATTGTTAGTTTCACCATACAGGATGTCTATATCAAATGGTACTTGGTGAGTTGTCCTATTGATGTTGTAATACTTTTAAATAGATGGATAGTGCAAAGTGAAAGTGATCTTGGTAATCCTGGAAACTAAAACCTGGGAGTGAGTATAGGTACCGGGTGCTGGGCAAAATTTGTAGGAAAACCTTTACCAATGAGGACACAGATAAATGGAACTTTCTATGTACAGGATTCTAATGGACGCCCTTTTGTATTATACTGGATCTCACTAAGCAACATCTCTACACGTGTTAGAGTGAGCAAGACTGAAGCTACATTGGGACCTAAAACTGCCTTGGCTGCAGGAAATTTTTAAAAGACACAGTTTTTTTCTTATTGTGCATTTCTCCGAGTTCCTTCTTTTCCCATAGTTATGTGATAGTTTGAACCTTGGTTTTGGGCAAGATGACATTATTTACATAAATGTAAAGTTGTTTTCTAGTCAGCCTGGAGCTGCAGACTTACTACAAGGCACGTACTATCCAGACCTTGAGAAACCAAGGAAGACATCAGTAAAGCTATGCTGATTTCACTCCTCCAGCAGGACCCGAAGATAACACCAAGGACCAGGAGCAGAAATCAGAGGGAGCCTTGGCGAGACCTTACACCTGGCTCCTTGCATGGAGCTCCTGTGGCTCACGTCCCCCTCCTTCCTGCTTTTCATTTGCCATGTTCCATTTCCTCAATCACCTCTTTAAAAATCCCTCAGTAAGGGGCCGGCCCGGTGGCGCACTGGATAGTGTGCCGCTTGGGAAGCGCGGCGGCGCTCCCGTCCGAGGGTTTGGATCCCACGTACAGACCGGCTCCCGCTCACTGGCTAGATTGTCTACATTCAAGACACAGTTTGGCCATTTGCTAGCTATGTAGCCTCTGGTGAACTTCATGATCTATAAAATGGGGATTAAAATTAGCACTAACCAGGGCTGGCTGGTTAGCTTAGTTGGTTAGAGCACAGCCTTATAACACCAAGGTCACCAGTTGGGACCCCCTTATGGTCAGCTGGGGTGAAAATAAAAAAGGAACAGGGCTGGCCGATTTAATCAGTTGAGTGCCATCCTGTAACACCAGGGTTGAGGGTTTGGATACCCTTCCCCGCCATCCACAACGCCCCCCCCCCAAAAAAAAACAAACAAAAAATTAACACTCAACCACATATTGACGAAAGGATTAAGTTATCACAATTTAAGCTATTATTATCTTTTCTTTAGTAACAGAAAATTGGCAAGGGAAAAATATTATCTACTATTTGCTAAGAATTATTTGGACAATTTACTTATAATCCCATTCAATTCTCTGTGAGGTGGAATCCTCATTTCATTTTTCAGATAATTAAATCATGGCTAGGAAGCTTAACCAATTGTCTTAAAAGTCATACAACTAGTAAATAGTTCAGGCCCGGGTTTGATTTTAAAACGCATGCTCTTTTCACTAAAAGACATAAAGACAACTTTATTCATCTTTTTTTTTTTCAGATTATAATGTTCCAGGATTTCCCACCGCTGTCATATGATTTATTCCTTTTACGTGCATAAAAACAAGTGCAAAGTAAAGGAAGAAAAGCAAAATGGAAAAGGGGTGTAAATCTGAGAGGGGAGGAGTACGGAAAACGAGAAGTCTGCAAAGGAACTTTACTCGTCTATTTGCTTAATAGTATCAGAGAGAAAAGTGGAAGACCAGGTCGGATGACGTTTTGCAGTCCTGCCCGCTCACAAGTTGCTGGGTGACCTTCAGCAAACTTCCTCATCTTTCTGGATCTCTACTTAAATATGCCTAAAATGAGGCGACTGAATTATCTCCAAGTTCCCTTCTGGTCCCCAAATTCGAGGCTTGCAGCCACAGACTCGTTCACCATCCCAGCTTGTTTTTCCTTGGTCTCGGACCAGCCACCTTTTCCCCTGCCCTGCTCTTACTCAATTGCACACGTACCCATTGGGTCCTAAACTCGACCGTGACCACGGGAGTAAAGGGCAGCGGTGGGGGACCGAACGCTGCGGGGAAAAGTAGGTAAGTAAACCCTGAAGTTGCTAGGCAGAGCCGGCAGCAGGAAGACGACTCCGGGCAGACCTGACGCTGCTCCCCGACGGCCAAAGTGGGAGGAGCGCGGGCGGGGCGGGGCGGGGCCGAGGGCGAATTGGAAGGGGAGGAGGGAAGGAGTCTGCTCCGGCGCCGTCTGTTGGCTTCCGCCCCTTCGCTTCCCCTCCCCCGTACCAGCTGGGCGTGTCGGCGGGCGTGCCGACGCCGCGTGACGTCACAAGGGGCGGGGCAGCCCGAGGGTTCAGCAGGCGCCAGGGCGCGTTCGCCGCCAGTCGCTGTTTGGGTTCTTGGTTTGAGGTTGTGCTGTCTCCGCTCGTGATTCCCTGTCACGGCCGGTCCCTTCTGGGCGCCCGGGACAGACTGGGCGCGCGCCCGTGTGTGTGTGTGTGCGCGCGGGTCTAGAGGGCAGAGGTGTCCCCTCGTTACCTTTTTTTTTTCTTCCTTTTATCCAAAGAACGGGACAGTTCGCACGCTTGCTTTACTGTCGCCCGGTTGGGAGTGGGGTTGGTGTGCGAAGTGGTTTGTCGTTTTTTCTTTTGAACTTGTGTGTGCTTTTTTTTTTCTCTCTTTTTTCATTTTTTAGGCTCAGTGCCGTCCGGGCTGGTTTCCCTGGTCCCTGACTAATCTGTCCTTTCGAAGTCTCGCCACCCCCGCCCAAGGTCGCCCCTGCGTTCTCGCCCCTGGCCCCCTGGGGGGAGTTTTGTCCCCGCCCTGCCCACCCGTGTCTTCGCAGCCGTAGCCGCACCTGCCTCAATATGAATGGGGTCAACGACCCACCTCTTTTTATAAAAGATATTAAGCCCGGACTGAAAAACTTAAATGTCGTCTTTATTGTCTTGGAGATAGGTAAGTGGGGTCCGCAGCCCACTCCACCGCCCCCTGTGCGTCCTGGGGCTGGAGAGAGGCGCCTTTACCGCGAGCCGGGGTTCCCCTCGCCTTCCTTTCCCCTCCCCCTACTCTCCCCCTCCCCCACCCACGTGGCTCCAGTGCCCCCCGCCGGAGCTCGGATTCTACCTGTGGTGAGAACCCCAGGTTTGACCTTTTCCCACCTTCCAGATGTAGTAAAATACCGGAGGAGGAATTAGCCTTTGTGGACGTCCTCGTTATCTAACACACACCTCCCGCCTTTTGATTTTTAAATCTTTACAGGACGCGTGACCAAAACTAAAGACGGCCATGAAGTGAGATCGTGCAAAGTAGCAGATAAAACGGGCAGCATCACTATTTCCGTGTGGGACGAGATCGGAGGTCTTATACAGCCAGGGGATATTATTCGGTTAACCAGAGGGTAGGTGTGCATAAAAGTGGGGGAGAAGTGAGAGTTTGCAGAATTGGCTTACTCCCGGGATCCTGGCAAGTTCCGTGTGTTTTTCGTGGGCCATTCCGAGGAGTTTTGAGCCCCTTTGGTGTTAACTTTGGTGGGCAGGGATGTCACACACCTTCGCAGTTAGAAGCAGTCTGTTTCAGGCGATTAATCCACCCTCGCCTCCTGGTTTACAGGTTAAGTGTATTTTAAAATACTACTCTGGGAGTCACTGAGTTTTTTTAGTAGTTTCATGTAGTCCATATTTTCTCTTTTTCATAAGTTAATTAATTTAGTATGGTTGTCACTCAGTTGGACTTGAAATCCTGCTAATATTTTACTTGTACTTATATTATTTAGAGGAAACGGACATAAGTTAAAATTGTTGGGGAATTTAGCATTTTCTGTGTTATGTCAAATTTGTACTTGAAGAAATTTAAGAGGGGAAGTTTACAATATCTGGAAGGCTAATTTTCGAAAATCATTTCTTTTGTTTTCTGTTGTAAGGTCAGTGTTGGACAAAAACCAAAATGATACACAGAAAATGTCTGGCAGAAAGACATCTATGATACCTCCATCCAAAAGAGTCTGGCAGATTGGTGGCTTTAAAAGATAATAATTTAGCACAATGTTTTTGGGGTTTTTTTTTGGGGGGGGGGACTGCTTTTAAAAATTTACCAAATTTTTATCTTAGGATAAAAGGTCAGAAAAGGATCTTGAAAATGCAATGTAGAAGCTTTTGTGATCAATAGAATTTTAATAATTTATCAATCATAGCTGCAAGAAAAGTAGGTGGAGATTGATGTTGGCCTAATAAATAGAACCTTAGAGAAATATTGGAGTGTCCTGAGCGTAGGAACTTATAGCATTTTGGCCTTACAACATCTTCAGGAAGTGAGGTAGAGTATCATCAAAGCAGGAAGTGAGAGTCAGGACTTAGACATTTTATTCTCACACACTGACTCATTATGACATTAATGTCTTAAATTTCCACATCTTTAACTTATGGAAAAGAGAGCTACTGGGGAGGATGTGGTGAGGATTTGCGTAATTGAAGTTTTTTGGCTCCTGAAATATCTTTCATCCAATGATTAAAAGTATTTTATATGCTGAAAACAGCATCTCATTTCAAATATTTCATATTTTGTAGTCACATTGATAGACATTTTCATTAAAAAAAATTGTTGGAAGATTAAACGCAGTAGTTGTATTTCCTATGGAATTTTAAGAAGCACAATTACCAAGGAGTGCAATTTAAAGGAAAATTCAAAGCTAAAGAAGCTTTGTTTACTACTTCGGTGTGATGGTGAGAACTTATTACACCTCACGCTTTAGCTTCCTCTTCTGTAAAATGGGAATAATTATAACTTACTAAAGTAATACACTCAGCTTGGAGTGTGGCGCATTGTAAGGCCCTTATATTCTGGTTGAATCTAGCTTTTGAGGTAAGGCATTCCTAACACCTAAGTAATGGTTGGTTTGAATATTGACATGTTTGTCGGAAAACTCTGCAAACTTGATCTCTGTTCTTTATCCTTAAGCAAGTGAAAGTTAAGTGTTTTAATTGTAACTGTTCAAATTTTTCCTCAAAATGTGCATTAATTTTTACTTTAGTACGTGAAATGTTAATACACCGTTTCCTAAGGCACTCTGCATAACCTGAGTGTTGGAGTCTTTAATAAATAAACCTTATTAAAATGGAGAGAATTGTATAATGTGAAACTAGCAGATTTTTTTTTTTTTTTTTTTTAAAGATGACGGGTAAGGGAATCTTAACCCTTGACTTGGTGTTGTCAGCACCACGCTCTCCCAAGTGAGCCAACCGGCCATCCCTATGTAGGGATCCGTACCCGTGGCCTTGGTGCTATCAGTACCACACTCCCAAGTGAGCCACGGGCCGGCCCTGAAACTAGAAGATTTTTATTAACCTATATTAAAAGATGAACTATCAGTATATTTGGTTAAACAGTGTTTGGTTATAAGTCATGATGTTATCATAATAGTTGTACAAAGTACCATTGAAAAGCAAACCTTGGATTGCTTTTATAATATTGATTAATTTACAGTTTTCTTAGATTTGTATTTAGTATTATTTAATGATGCCATGTACATTCAAAATTGTTCAGCCAGGTTGGTATTAAAAATTGCAAATTTTGAAAGGCAGATAGTTGAAAGATTTGTGACCTAGATTTTTAGCACCTTGATTAAATTCTTTCAAATCTTCAGCAGCTTGGGGACCCTGTGTTTTTTATGGAGCAGGAGAAAAACTTATATCAGTATCTGAGTAGGCCATGTAAATGAATGTAAATGTAAACACTAGGGTGTTGATTTTATATATCCTGTGGCTGAAAAATAATTTGTTTAAATTTCTGCAATTAAAAGCTCTTCCTTTGTTAATTGACTGAAGATTTACTCATCTATGGTATAACAATGCTTTACAAACTATACATAGATATGATATATATATATATATATATATATATAGTTTGCTTTTGTTTTTTCTGATTTCTGTTAATAGATAATTATGTCAAAATTTGACAGTAGAGTCTTCTTTGTATTATTCCTTAGTAAGTAACAAGTTAATCACAGACTTATTGTATTTGATTTACTGTGGTAGACAGAGAAAGGGCTTGATCCCCATTTCTACCCCAATACAAAAAAATGCAATGTGAAGATTACTTGTTTCAAATTGAAATATATGTATTTCTGTAAAACTAATGTTTCTTTTCTCTCTAGGTATGCATCCATGTGGAAAGGATGTCTGACACTTTATACTGGAAGGGGTGGTGAACTTCAAAAAATTGGGGAGTAAGTATTAAAATGCTTTTCATGTAATTGAATAAATTACAAATAATATCTACAGAATAATTGGTAGGTATAGACTATAAACCTCTTCCTTGGCTCTTTTTGACTGGTAAACTGAATGCCTTTGGCAGCTTAACTGAAAAAATAACTTGTATGTAGTAGTTTAACATCCATCATTACTGTTTCCTGTGGTTGAGAATGTCAGTTTTTCCTGGCAAAGAGCAGTAAGAAGCTGCAGTTGAGACCAGCCCCAGTGGGACCATTTCTGTAGGCTTTCGAAATGTGCATCTTTAAGGTGTCAAAGTGCCATTTGAAGTAAATTCTCTCTTCTAATGATTTGTCAAATAAGCTAGGTATGAGTTTCAGGCCATACGTTTAAATTTTCTTTTTCTCTGTTTATGAGTGAATTTGTACTCACGTTATAAGGACTTGCAGCAACTGAAGTCCTCTTTATTCACAGTCTAGGTACGGTGCAGGCAGCCGCAATGCGAGCTTCCATATACTACTCTGGTAATGATCTCAACCCTGACCCGGAGGAAGCATCCTCTCTAAGGGTGTAAAGGTAATTCAGCCTCCATGCTAGCCTAGACATTTGGGTTGTACTCATAAAGTATGGTATAGACAATGAGTCAATTCATTAGTCCATTCTATTTGGTTAATGCTCAGACATCTACTTAACACCCGTCAAATTGGAGGATTTTTAAAGAGAGAAGCCACAAATGGCACCAAAAAAAGGAAAAGTTTTCCACACTGAGAGGATGAGATACTTTGTTTGGAGAACCTGTTGTTAATAATGAAAGGGGAAAAAAAGAAAAAGCAATCTTGCTAGCTTTTAAAAACTCAGAAACTGATCTAACACTTTGCCTTCACTGGAAGGAAGATTAGATTCACTTAGTACTTGGAGTAGTAGAATTAGAGCTATGTGTTTTGAAAGGTCTTAGGGTCAGTATTACTGAAAGGTTCAGGATTCTGTCCTAACCTTCCTGTATACAGAGTGTTTATAATAATGGAGATCAGTTATGTGAAGAGCCACTGGAGATCACTCAATTCTTAATGACTGCTCTTTGTCAGCATCAGTCTAGGATTTACCAAAACTGATTTCTTTTTTGTGGAGTGAGGAGCTAAGAAAATGCTTATGTGTAATGTTAGTACACACCATATAGTCAACTTATAAGAAGCAGTGGGATAAACTGGTAGCTTGATAGCCAGTTGACTGTCTTTATCACCTAGAAGCCACTCTTAACCTTAAATGATTATCTTGGAGATTCACAGTGACTGGTCAAAAGAGGGACTGGGTGAGTGTGCGTGAATGGATCAGTTCAAGTCCATCACCACTGCTGGAGAAACTACTCTGGAAACCTAAACATGGTTCACTAACATCAGTCTGTGTGGAAAAACAGGACAAAGATTTGTTTCTGTGTCCTTGATCTTTTACATGATTTATTTTTTGCAGTATACAGAAGAATTCAAATATAAAATAGAATGTTTTATGTGTTGTAGAGAGTCACATATTTGATATTTTATAGGGCATGATCATTTAGGAAGTTTTGTTGTAAATGAATAGTTAGCTTGTTGGTATTAGTTAATTCACGTGACATCTAGTTTCTTCATTCCTATAAGTTAGGGATGTTAAGAAACATTATTTTAGAAGTCATTTAACTTGTCCTTTATTTTATTTCAGATTTTGTATGGTTTATTCAGAAGTGCCAAATTTCAGTGAGCCTAACCCAGATTATCGAGGACAGCAGAACAAAGGAGTAATTCATCCAAATGTATGGTATATTTTTATGATTGGACTAATTTTGACTTTGTACTCTAATTCTATGAGTAGGCTAACCTTGTGATAGCCAGAGAATAATGAAGAGAATTTAAAAAAGAATATTTAAACTAATTTTTATTGTATATGTTTTGTGAGTCTATACATATATGTCTGTAGTATCATATACGAGTACCAGATATATATGCCATTTAGCACTTTGCAGGGTTGGGAGTAATAGCAGGAAATATAATAGGATGTAATAGAGGCTATGAAATGTTTAAACATTCCTGAATATTTTAACATTGAATGGACTTGGACAAATCTGAAAAAAATTGTTGTTAAAACTAAAAAAATCCCCAAAACCTTAAAATTAAAATAAAAGAATGGATATAATAATGTTATAATAATACAAATGTGTTATATTTTAATCATTTGATTAAAAACTTTTTTTTAGGCATACAGTGAACAGAAGAGTAATTCCATGAATAGTAATATGGGTACAGGTACATTTGGACCAGTGGGTAAGTTTTTTTTTTTTTTTTGCTATTTGTGATCAGGTGTAAGAGTTAAGGGAGTTATGAAAAATTACAGGCATACAGTGAACAGAAGAGTAATTCCATGAATAGTAATATGGGTACAGGTACATTTGGACCAGTGGGTAAGATTTTTTTTTTTTTTTGCTATTTGTGATCAGGTGTAAGAGTTAAGGGAGTTATGAAAAATTACAGGGGAAAAAATGTTTTGAGGCATAAACTACTAGTAGAGTGAACTACTAGTAAACGGAAACCCCAAATAACTGATTTTCTAGAAAGCAGTTACTCATAAGCCAATTTATTAAGCATGTTTTATATATAAGCATTTGGCCAGTTAACTGGGAATAGCAAGGTGAACATTGACCGATAATGAGAAATCTAAGTTTTCGTGATATCTGTGAAGAGGTCTTATGTTATTTTTCCATTTATTTGTATAAAATTTCTGTAATCTAGTGATTATTTACAATAGATGCAGAATTACTGGTTATTTTGGTGCACTAAAAGCCTTCTATCTTTACAGTGATAGCTCATCTTAATTTTTCACATGCTGGTAGCTGCCTCTTTAAAAGATTAGCCCAAATGTGATTTTAATGCAGTGTTGCGGAAGGTCTTTTAAAGTCTTTATTCTTAAGTAACCGAGGGAAAGTCTTTAGTGACTGGAGTTCATTTGGGTGTCTGGTGTTTTCTTTGATCTGGTGGCCACATGTTTTGGCACAACTGATCATCATCATATTATGTGATACTTTGTTGTCTTTGCCTAAAAAATGTTAGAACTACGTTGTTTGAATCACAAATCATATTTGAACCAAATGCCAGTATTCAAACACTATTTTGCCTTTTCTGTTAGAGTATAGGCAGTGCATATCTATGCTTTTTTCCACTCTGTGAATTTCTAATTTTCTTGCCCAAGTTGGCCTTTTTTTCTCTATTAATACAGCATCTAGTTAATGTACTTACAGGAATAATACATTTGGAGAAAATGTAGAACCCACACTGAGGTTTTTTTTTTTTTTTTTCCCCATTATAAAAATAAAGGTCTTTATTTCCCCTAATATTGTTTATAAGCATTAATAGCATGTGTTGGAACTTCAAATAGGTATATTTCTATAAATTGTTGTAGACTACTTCTGAAAGTAGTGATGAATTTTTGTATTCTCTTTTAGGAAGCGGTGTTCAAAGTGGCCCTGAATCAAGGGGATATCAATTTTCATATGGTGGTAGAAGCAATGGCCGGGGACCTATAAATCCACAGCTACCAGGAACAGCTAATAATCAAACAGTCATGACCACAATAAGTAATGGCAGGGACCCTTGGAGATCCTTTAAAAGATGACCTATGCCAAATACTCACATGTAGTTTTTAAACTACACACCCTACTTGAACACTTACTGCACTTTTATTTATCGTTAACTGTGAAACGTAGTATGTCCTTTATTGGTTTTCTTTTACATTTTTTGTTTGTTAAGATGAGTGGTTTGTTTTTATAGCAAAACTGTTAAGCTGCTCAAGTCTCTTATTCAAGAATGGGAACACTGAAAAGTAGGGCCATTTATTTTTAGAGCAAAAAGTTTGTTGGGTATCTTCTAAAAAACTTGTACCCATTTCATGGGTGAGTTAAGACATCACTTTATAGCCTCTATGAGTCTTTATCTTCTGTATAATTTTGTAGTATTTAACGTAAGGCTTAGTGAGAGATGTTATTTTGTCTTAAATTCAGATATTGCCAACTAAAGCAATAACCACCAAAAAAACAAAAACTTTTGTCCACGCTAACGGCAATTTTTGAGTGTTTGTGACTCCAGGAATAATTGACTTCTTTATTGAGTGACTGCCATTAAGATTTTCCAAGGACTAAACCATCTTAAATTCTTATTTTATTGTAAAAGAACCAGTTTCTTTATCAAAATTATGGAATTGAATGTGATCTGTATTGTAACATAATTTTTAGAAGAAAGCTACATTTACTTTATTTTAGGGCAGCGTTCTTAACATTTGTTATCAAAACTGAGGCCTTGAATATTTATTTTTTGAAACTACCATGTTAAATATTAAGGTATAATTTGAGGGAGTTATAAAGTCATAATAAACATTGATCTGTTTTAAAAAACAATTGTGATAAACATAATAGAGAAGGCAATTCAAATTGAATTCATGTAATATGCAGTCTCAAGTTATAGATCTTAGGTACTTAAAGGTACTCAGCCTGGAGTGAAAATCCTGGTTACTTAACTTTGAGGAGTATGTGTATATATGTGTGTGTACTGTCAGTTTTTAAACACAATTCACATAGCCTTATTTGCAAAAGGAAAGAAATGGCTCTCGAAGTCATTACAGCTTTATTCAGAAATGTAAAGGTGAAATTTATGTGTCATAAATGGTACCCACTTCCACTTTTTTACTGTAGAGCGGATAACAGGTAAATTTTTCCTTTGTTAGAATTCAACTCTTCTTGAATATTATCTCTTGAATAAAACTTGCATCAATGTTAACAGACCTACCCAATTTTCGCTTCTTAAATGACTTACAATGGAGAGCCCGTGTATCGTACTGCAGCTGTAATGATGACTTCAGCCTGGCGACCACTTAGCTCTGCATTTGCTGCTTTGTTTTTTTCCCCACCTCAAACACAAAGTAATTTAAGTAGACTTTGTATTCTGAGAACTCCATAGCATTTGAATATAAAAATATGTGCCAGATCATTTGCTTGTTCTAATTCAGTGTATCTAACAAATATTTCAGTACATGGTAATGTGAAGAGTGTTAAATGTTAGACAAATACTGAATAATATCAAGTTTATTTATGGTCTATAGTACTTTAGTAATGGGTTTATGTATTATAGAAAAAAGCTTTTCCTTTATTCATATATTAATGATTACAGTTAATTTGGCTTTGTGACTAATATTTTCTTCAGATTTTCACATTTCAAAATACCTCAGAAGTTGTCTAAGGATTGAGATAGACTGTATTTTGAAAGATTACAGAGGTTTAAAGTTTTTAAAAATATATTACAAGTTTTATATAATTTCGAAATCTAAATAGGGGTAAGAGCAATAACACTAAGTTATTTGTGGGAGAGTGTAGTGTTAAAGGTGATGCTAAGAGAAAGAATTTTACAGTTTTGGAAAATTAAAATATTGTCAGTTGTGGATTGCAGGGCTTCCAATCCTGGCCTTATTATCACTTTATTGGTGATGTTGGGTGAGTTACTATGGTTGAAACCTCTCTAAGCCTTAGGTTCTGCAACAGTGAAAACAAGTAAGTATTCCTATCCAGAGTTGTTTAAGATTTCCATGTAAGCAATTAGAATGATTTCTAGCACATAATAAGTAGTCAAATGTTTGTTGTCATCATACCTCAAGAGTAGGGGAAAAAAATGGAGAATTAGGTCAGGGAGTATTGTTACCCTTCAACATTGGGATTAAATTGAAAAAGACTTGAGCTTTTACTTTTGTGATTGATACTTGCCTCAATAATTTAAACTTGTTGTGTGTTTTTATCATTTATTAACAAATTTTTTTCTTCTTAAGGGAAGCCTCCAAAACCAAAGTGACTTACAATCCATAATGAGTGTTTGCCTTACCAGTCTACTTGGACAGCACTCATCAAGAAGTTCAGAGGAAGAAAGTTTTCTACTTTCCTCCTTCCTGGTGCTTTCAGCTATCAACTTTGAAATAAGTTTAAACAGCATCTACCCAAAACAAAAACCATTTAGTATAGAAATACACTCTACTAGGATTGGGTCCCCTGTATCGTTTCTACAAAATAGCTCTGAAGTGAATCAAAGTTTCATCAGGCCAGCTTCTTTAAAGTATAGAAATGTGGTTAACTGGCCCTAAAAAGTTTTTTCAGAAGGTACAAGTCTTACATTCATCCAAAGACACAGTGGGAGTTATTTACACTTTATGTAGAACTGACATTTCAGCTTAGTTACTGAAATGACTTCCCGTTTGTGGTGTCGTAAATGTGATGGGAATTTTGCTCCAAGTCATTTTAGGCTGTGTGTGACTATTAAGAAGATCCTTTTCTCTAATATATTTGGAATGGTTCTAGAGACCACAAGCTGGAAACCTTGTGAAGCAGTATCAACATAGAACATGTTCCCAAATAAGGCTGTTCTTAACCGTAATCTTGTTCCTGGGATTACTTGCCCTATTACTGTTTTGTTTATTATTTTTATTTTTTTTAAAATTTTTATTTATTTTTTAAAAGATGACTGGTAAGGGGATCTTAACCCTTTACTTGGTGTTGTCAGCACCACACTCACCCAGTGAGTGAACCGGCCATCCCTATATGGGATCCGAACCCATGGCCTTGGTGTTATCAGCACCACACTCTCCTGAGTGAGCCACGGGCTGGCCCTCAGGTATGCTTCTGAAGAAAACTAATGGAGACCTTTTGAAAAACAGCACTATTGTGAGTGGTGTATTATGCCATGAGGGAGAAGCTAGAAAAGCATTTACTTTCCAGGTATACTTAGATTCTCCAAATACCTCGAAGTTTGCTCTGCTGGGAATGTACCAGAATTTGGATCCAAATACTGTGACCAAATTACTCTATATTTCTGAACTAAAAGGGTCTTGGTGGTTTCTCAAAACACACACAACAGACCTAAGGGACAGACAGACTAGAGAAAGTCAAGTCCAGACAATTTAGCGTTTTTTTCCATGTTAACATTAAACTCAAAGATGTTACAAAGAGCTTTTTACTACTGTGTGACAACCAGCATGATGTAAAGAAAAACGAACATTTTAACAAGCTCGGTTAGTAGACATTTCATGTAAGCCTTTTGAAAAGTCATGGTAGACAGCTCACAATTTTTCAGGCTTTGAGAACATACCAACCCAAGGTTTGGATGATCACGTTGAACTACAGTAGAGCCCGGGTGTCGAGAGTTTGTTGACACTTAACTGCAACTGAAGGGCTATGGACGTGTTTTCTAAAACCTGTTCTTTATTGCCATTTCCAACCATAAATTCAAGTGAATTTCATGTTTGTTTTACTCCATCAAAATTTATGCTGCTGAACATTGTCCAATTTCTTGGTCCATATAGTGAATAAAGAATAAATATGTTGAATACACATTGAATAAAACTTCCAAAGAATGGTTTACAAACCACCAACAAGACTCCGCAAGAACCTGTTAGAAGTACAGATTGTTCCTCTGTCCTACTGGAAGGAGAATTTATAAACATAGGTCTGGGAGACCTGCACTAGAAACAGACTGAAGATCCTTGTCTCTCCTCTTGAGATCTCTCTTTAACTTTGTTTTGAAATTACAGTTTTCTTGGTTCCTTTTACTTTTGTTTTGGATTGTAAAATAGATAAAATTGCACTAAGAAAGATATGTCTCCAAAGGGGAGAATTGATGGGTAAAGCATAGTCCCCAACAGGATAAGAGGTTGAGTATGGCTTCTGGACATGACCACTGTAAATTTTGAATTAGGTTCAATTAGAATTACTGAAATTATATCAGTGCTAAGATCAGATATCTGTGGTGGGGTCACATGGCTTCTGAGCCTATATATATCAAAAGTGAAAATAAGCTTTTTTGCCCTAATGTTTTAAGAAATAGATTTTTGTTGCTTGTCTCAGCAAATAATGTGCTTGCAACCTTTTCTGCCTTACTCCTCTCATTTTTCCCTACTTTGTTATGAAAGGGAACGCTGGCCAAATTGGAAAGTAGTGGGACTGGGTTGCTTGTCTCAGCAAATAATGTGCTTGCAACCTTTTCTGCCTTACTCCTGTCATTTTTCCCTACTTTGTTATGAAAGGGAACGCTGGCCAAATTGGAAAGTAGTGGGACTGGAGGCATGAGAAATTCTTGAGAATACCTCTAGAATCCACCCTTCATTCTCCATTTATAGACATTAATCCTGTTATGTACAGATCAACAGCTACACTATTTTCCACAGGTAATATGCAAGGCATGATTTGATTGACATGTGGGATTAGTATTCACTTTGGAATACAGCCCTAGAAGGAGACTAAGACCTCTGACTTAAGTTGCTGACTGCTTCAATGAGTAAAAACAGGGTAGTCAGCACAACTAGTGCCATCTACTGGGTGATTAGTTTCTGTAGTTTAGGAATCTGACTTAGTTTAAAATGTGGGGGAAAAGGTTACATTCCATTGGATAACAATTTTTGTCTGATGGTTTAAGCATGATATGGAAGATCATTAAGGGGTAGTTGGATCATCTACACTGACATGAAAAGAATTTCCTTCAGTTAAGCAGATTAAACCTTGAACTGCCCCTAAAGCTATAGAAAATGTGGGAAAGGTTGCCAAGTTTTGTGTTCTCATTGAATTTGTCAGTATTAGTAGTGGGAAGCATAAACTGTCAAAATACCTTTTGGTGGGTGTTTTGGTGAAAACAATTGAAGTAGAATGCGAAGCTGCCCTTACAAATTTTACTGCTTTGTCTGGTGGTATTTTATAAAACCCTGGCCAAATGACTACAGCTGTTCTTATGTGAGTTTTGCAGAACATAACCTATATTAAATGTTAGAAAGAATGTGCTTTGGTGAAAAGACCATGGTTTTGAGCTGAAGAGTTCTTAGTTTGAGTCCTGGATCTACTGTTTATTGGCACCATGATGTTAAGCCTCATTATAAAGTAAGGATAATAACTCACAGTGTTATGAGGACTATGTGAGTCAGTGTATGCAAAACATGTCCATATCTTAGGCTCAAGAAGTTAGGCACTTTCTCCACCAGCAACGGAAATAAGACAGACAAATACTGGTTATTTCTCCATGCCATTATTAGAAAACTATAATTTTAAATCTAAGATATCAAGCAATTTATATGAATTGTTACAATTAAGTGGCTTTTTTTAAAAAACAATTTTTACAGTTTGGGCACAGAGAAGCACTGAACGCTGACTATTCACCATAACAGCGTGTAGGGTTGAGTCTTTATTACAAAGATCTGCCACTAGCCAAGCAACCTGTGCTGTTTTTCTCCTCCCCTTTGCCCCAAGGGCGAGTGCCTGATTTTCAAAGTGCAGAGGAAGAGGAAGGACTTGTGGGCCAAGATTTGTGCCAGAGAGGAAGGAGGTCAGTGGCCGAGGGGAAGGCAGAGGGCACACTGGAAGGAATTCTCTATTCCCAGTGGCAGCGCTCAGGATTGCTGTGCACCGAGAGGTGCAGAGTAATTTGTTTGCTTCTGATAACTTAAGCATTGGGTAACTTTTTTCAACATATGAAAAATTTCAGACAGACAGTGGTGTTGAACCAATTTTAGTCTAAACACTTGTGTACCAAACACATAGACTTTGCCCTTTGCATTTGTTTTATGACATCAGTCTATCCATCCCATTCATTCATTAATCCATTTTCAATACATTTTAAGTGAACTGCAGACATCAGTACGTTTTCCCCTAAATATTTCAATATGCCTATTCATTAGAATTCAATATTTTGCAGTTTTTAGTATAAAGTTTAATTTATATGCAAAGAAATGCACAAATCTGTCCATTTGAGAGTATTAACA